GGGAGAGATGTGACGAAAGCAATCTCGCCACATTGCATTGGAGAAGCCTGGTTGCTCGCCTGCTGCCTTTGGACTATGGTCCCATGTTATAAGACATCTTTTTCACTGAAGAAAGACTCATTCGTGCTTTTCTGCCCGGTGTTCGGTAGATTCTCGGATTTACTGAATGAACTCATATAACCCAGATAGGTATGCCATGGAGCCTATTCATGTAATAAAAGACTTTGGCTCTATGGCAATTGAACTGTATGTGTTTGTGGTCTGAGCGCCATTCAGTATTAATGTGTGCTCAGACCTAAGCTATCTGGGCATATGTTGCATGTCTGTATTTTATGTCATAAATGTAACCTTGTGTATTTTATTGTATTTTACTGTCTTTTTGCTGCCATGTGTTCAATGGAGTTTTGCCTCTGTCTTTGGAGATAATTGGATTACTTCTAATTATCTCCAGGGTAGAAGACTCTGTGGAACTGGTTTTGGGCAGAAAAGCCATGCTTCCTGTGGTCACAAAGGACTACGATCTATCTTTTGAACCACTGAACCAATTTGTATGATTTTGACGTATGTTTGTATTTGGAGTATGCGGATTCTGAAAATGTAAGTTTTATGTGAATGTGATGCATACTTTTCAAGTTATGAATAATGTGGAAAAATTGTATTTTTCTGCTTGTGCTAAATTACATTACCCATTGTGTAAGGTAATTGAATCACAAGCAGAGGGGAGGAATTTGTGTGGGAGTGTCTGAGTGTATTGTATGTGTTTATTGGTTGTGTTCCAAAACCCTCTGGGTGGTACTAATGTGTAAGAATGTGTACATAAGCACAATAAACCCACAGCTCTAACTGTTCACTGCTTGACCCTCAAAACGGAGCATTGTCTCGTTCTTGGGGGGGATTTATTGTTTGCAGTTCCAGTTCGACTGCTAGGAGTGTAAACCTATTCCTATGGTTTTTCCTATTCGGCTGTTTACAGCATTCGTATGGTTTCCTGTTCGGCGGATTGGTGTTCTGCAGTAGCTGTGCCTGCATCTCTGAAAGGGGACGATCGCCTAAACGGTTTTAACCCCTTGTGAGCTGAAACGTTCCGTTACAGCATCTTTCACTGCCCGGTAACTGGTAATCTCCTCTTCTGGGATGGCTCGGAAGGCTTTGCTGGCCTGGCCGGATAGTTTCCCAGAGAGCATAGTGACCCATTCATCTGCAGGTACTTGGTGTTTTTAAATGCAGTGAAGGGTACCTTCTTTCTTCCAATATTATTATTGGGTACCTCCGCTGCTGCAGCTCCTCTTTCTTGGAGCACCTGGTGTGCCATCACTGCTGCTTGCACACGTTCCACGATGTCCGCTGTAGGGTTGGGGCCAAAGTGTGCCAGCCTTATCTGGACTGCCCGGTTGAATCAGATTTCCTCAGGTGTCGGGTACAAGATGCTGGGCACATTAGCTCTCTCCGTTCCTTGCGCTGCATCCATTTCGAGTAGCTGTGCAATAATCTCCCGTTTTTTTAAGATTGCTTGCTGACCGTCCTCGGCGTTCTAGTATGTCTTTAAGGGTAACACGCCTTAGTTCCTCATACTGCATTTCCACCAGCCTGGGTTGTGTAGCTGTCCTTCTGGTCGGTGGGAACCATCCCGTTGCTTGCCACCAGTTGTTAAGACACTCCTGGCATAAAGGAGTGAAATCGCCGTTACAGGCACAACTACTTTAGAACCCCAAACTCTCGAACTGGAACCAGGGGAATACGCCTATTTCCCGAACAGCATACTTAGTAATACTCCAAACTCCCGAACAGTAATCCCACGAATCGCTGCTAACAGACGAACCGATACAGCATCCAAGTGGCTTACGTTCCCAGCAATCAGTCTCTATCTATACACCCCCACAATGCATCCTGACTCCCTCCCCTCTGCCCTAGAGATAATTGAGAAGTAATTCAATTATCTCCCAGGCCAAAGGCAAATCGCCATTATGCACGTGGGGACAACAGGATAGAAATTACTGTTAAAATGTAAAGTGTTAAAACAGTTACAAGAAATATAGACATGTAACATACCCCCAAATAGCTTAGGTCGGAGCGCACATTATTAGGTGAATAGCGCTCAGACCACACGAGTACAGTTTAATCGCCATGGAGCCAAGTCTTTAATTCCACGAACAATCCCCCTGGCAGGCGTTCGTCTGTACGAATCGGTTTAATACCGTATAACCTCCCAATTTCAGCAGTAAATTGGGTGCCCTGGTCCGAGAGGATCTCCCAGGGAAAACCCATCTGGGAGAATACTCGCATCAGTGCTTCAGCCACAGTCTCTGCCTGAATATTGCTCAGGGCAGTCACTCTGAGGTAAACCACGGTCACCCTGAGGTAAGCCAGACTGCCTTGGGATACAGAGTCACATAATCCACGATGATTAGAATGTATTTCTTCCCAAAGGGACTAGGCTTAAATAGGAGACCTATAATATCGACAGCTTCTCTGCCAAATGGATCTTCAATAATGGGGAGGGGATGGAGTGGGGCCTTGTGTCTATCGCCCCGCTTCCCCACTCTCTGGCAGACATCGCAGGTCTGGCAGTACTGCCTCAGATCCCTAGAGATGCCTGGCCAGAAGCAACTTTGGGTGAGCCGAAACTACTACTACTACTACTGTGGCGAAACCAACCTCGCCACAAAGCATTGGAGAAGCCTGGTTGCTCGCCTGTTGCCCTTGAACTCTGACCCCATGTTAAAAAGCCTTCTTTTCCCCTCCAGAAAAGGCTTGTTCGTGTCTTTTTGCCCGGCGGGGCAGGGCATTGGGACCGGAGAGTAGCTGCATACTCGTCAACTGTTTGGCTGCTTCGGTCACGGTCTTGGGCTGCCGTTCTCTCACCCATTCCTGCAGTATTAACACTTGGTGAATCTCTTCGGGGGACTTGGCTTTTTGCAAGGCCATCCAGTTGTGGGTAGCTTGGATGATATGGCATGCCCACTCCGCATGGGAGACCTTCTCTCCTTTCTTGGTTCCCCTGAACTTCCTGCAGTATGCCTCCGGGGTTACAGCATATCGGGCTAGGACTTCTTTGACAAACTCGTCTCTGATCTGGTCTGCTGGTACATCTCGGTAGGCCTCTGCTGCCCTCCCTGTTGGGGTCCTGGCCAAGATAGTCTGCAGCGGCGACTTCCTGCAATAAGAACTGGCACCCAAAATCCTGCAGGAAGTCATGGTTGATGCCTTCTTCTGCCTCCTTAAACTCTTTAAAGGCGGCAAAGGGCAACTTGGGCTTTCATGCTGGGCCTTCTGGGGACCTCTCTCTGGTCCGTCATTCATCTGCTTGTGGGGTGTTCGTGCGAGGACAGAGGCTTGTGCCTCAGAGAAAATCTTATTCATGGATTCCTCTGAGGGTGGCTCCTTGTAATATGCCAGGCGCCGGGCCACCTCTTTGTGTAGTTCCTCCTCTTCTCCGGCCTCTGGCTAGTCATCCTCGATGAGGTCAGCGGTCAATTTGGCCTTGTTACAATGGCCAGGGGTTATCCCTCTGGCTTCACACAAATCTTGTAATGTTGGTCGTTTTAGGGACGTATAGTCCATGGGTCTGTTCGGCTGGGACGTGGGATCCGACCGCTTGCCACCAGTTGTAGCGGGCCCTGGGCAACCCAGCTGGTTACCCCTGGAAGACACACAGTTCCAGGGTACAACAACAGCTTTATTGGCCACACTTGGCTTTATACTTCTCACCATACAAGGGGTGGTTCATTCATACAGACAGTGTCCTCACCCAGGGGTCGTATAACAGAACCAGACCCCAGTCCCTTGTTTCTGCCACTCCGTGTTTTCTCCCAGGGGCCCTTTCGTGTGACAGGATCTCCAGTCCCTTTGTTCCTGCCACCCAAATACAGATGGGAGGGGTCTTCTTCCCAGGACCCTCTGTACCTAGGAGTCCCAAAGCAGGAAAAACTTCCACCTCCTGGGCTCCCAGACACACAAAGCCAGCCAAACCTCCATTCTCCCCAAAGAGTGTCCCCAGCAATCCCAGGGGCCCCCAGAACAGCAACCGTCCCAAACATTCTCCGTTCGCGGGGTCTCTGGGTGAAACCAGGCAAGGGAAGCATCTTCTTTCGGGACACGAATGCTCCCCCTGGCCTGCGTTCATCTGTACGAACGGTGGCTAACCAGGGATGTGCTCATTAATTACGTGTCGCAAGTTGCCAAGTTGGTGTGAACACTCCAAGGGGCACTGGGGAGGTCCTTGTTCGGGAGCCGAAGAGGTGGGAAGCAATCCGCAAATGCTCCTCCTGGACTAGGTTCGTATAACCAACAGGCCGCCAGCCAGGGTCGGCAAGTGCCGAGGCTTCCCTTGTGGTATGTGGTTCTCACACCTCGTTAATGAGGTGTAAACAATCTAACCAAATATTCTAAATGGGGTATCGAGGTGGTCCCGATTCGCAAGGCGAACAGAACCCGTTCGCATGAGGCTTCCCGAACGGGGAGCAGGTAAAATACGAGAATACAGCACACTATAAGGGAAAAATACATGGAATTACACACCGCAATTTACGAACAGGCAGCAGTCCCGCCACAATTTCCATCTATTTTTATGGAGTTTATATGTGGAGAATAAAAGTTCGGTTGTGGGTCGATTCTCTGCACAGGGTTCATATTTCTGTTCTATTAGTATAATTAGATAATATTAACCTACTCGGATTCATGTAGACAATACATAATAAAAGACGCCTATTTCTTATCCCCTTAAGGACACAGCTTCAGAAGCTTGTTTTACCCTTAAGGACACATGCAATTTTTGCATTTTTTGTGTTCAACTGCAATTTGCATCTCTCTCATTTATTGCACCAACACATATTACATACCGTTTTTTAGAGGGCAAACACGGCTTTAATTTGATGTGACATATACATAGATAAATTCTCATTTATTACAAAAAAATGTTAAACAATGAAAAAAAAAAATATGTCCAGCTTAAGAAAAGTCATTCAAAATAAAGTAATGTGTCTTGATTTACATAGTACATAATATGTGTAGGATTTCAGTTTATTTTGAAAGTTACAGGTCACAAAATACAAGGACTAAAATAAAATTTCTATGTGAAACAATTTTAGAAGTTGGTATGTTTGTCTTGGAAATTTAATACCCACCACAGAAAACAAAATTGCCACACAAAAGTATATATTCATATAAAGTAGGCATCACAGGCTATTTACCCAAGGTTATTTTGACACTTTTTAAAAATCAATTTCACCGCCAATCTCTGATAAATATTGGAGTAAAATTGTATTTTTTCTCTATTTTGGCATATACACACATATAACAAGGTTTTAATAATGTGTATTTCATAAAGCTGGTGTGTGCTATCTCTATACAGAACCCTATGTTGTGTTCAGCTACATCTGCGGAGTATGACGATACCCCCATTTTATGCCATATAGGAGACCATGCTATGTCTGATTTTGTGGCATTATAGCAGTTTGACTGTTCAAATAACCCCACAAAGGCTTTCCATTTGAGAAAGCAGAAACTCCAGGGTATCTTATTAGGCATATATTATACCTTAACTTGCCACCATTTTTCGCCAATTTATTTCAAATTATCTGGTTAAAAAAATAAAATAAAAAAAAATTATATATAATTTTTAACATACATGTATTTTTGCTGGGTATTTTGTACATTTAATCATTGTCACGGTCATAAAGTCCCCCTAAATATTCTCAGTTACCTCTTCTGAGTAAAACAATAAGCCCAATGTATGACCTAGACACTATTTTGTGAAGTTACAGTGCTGTAAAAGAGACCTGTCAATTTCAGATTTTTAAGTGTGAATTTTCATATATTGTTTTGATGGGTCCACGTTCTATTTAGAAATTTTTTAGCAGGCTGCTTATTCCAACTACCTTAAAAAGACATACCATTTCTTAAAGAAGACAACCGAGGGTATTTCAAAAAGCATATTTTGAACCTTAGCATGAAAGCATTTTTCTGCTAGCTTGTACCAAGTAGTGGTAATAAGCATTTTTGTCCCTCCTTTTTGACACATACACAGTGTGAGTTTGTACTGTATATTTTGCAAACCTTATGTGTGCTACGGCTTTATATTACTTCATATGTTGCTCAGCCATGTTGTCTGAATATAGACAATACCCCCGTATGTACCTTTGCCAGGTATTTGTGGATGTTGAAGGGGCACAGTTGAGACACAGCCCTTGTAGTTTTGTTCTTGTTTTGTTTTTTTCAAACTTTAAATGTTTACACGGTGTTCATGTCCCATTTTGGAGTATTTTAGCAGGCTACATATTTCAACTACCCCATAAAGGTATACCATTTATTAAAGAAGACATCCCAGGGTAATTCAAAAGGCATATTTTGAACTTTAGCGTGAAATTATTTTTCCGCTAGCTTGTACCAAGTGTAGTGGTGATAAGCATTTTTTTCTGCCTTTTTGACAGACACACACACACACACACACACACACACACACACACAGTGAGTTTGTACTGTATATTTTGCAAACCTTATGTGTGCTACAGCTTTATAATACTTCCCATCTTGCTCAGCTACGTCATCTGAGCACAGCAATACCCCCACCTTGCCAGGTATATGTGGACGTTCAAAGTTTAACTTTTAAAAAGTTTTTTTTTTTTTTTTTTACTGTTAACCTCCAACTAGCCTAACCGTAAATCCCCTAGTTTCCCCACTAACTTCTAGCCACCCCATTTTACAAATATTTTAGTAACTAAATAAATTTAACCCCTGAAGGTTAAAAAAAAAATCAGATCACAGTGAAATACTGTGCTCTGTATTTTGATCACTGCAGACAGTAATCAAAGGGCAGGAAGGGGTTAAATTGAATCGGGTGGGATTTTACAACTGTTTTCTTGCAGAGAGCAGCAGATCAGCCTGGAGCTGCAGGGAGACAGATCGGATTTCACCACAGCACATGTGATTGCTCTGAACTCCTGGTCAGAGCGATCATATAGGCTGTGAAAGTGAAACGGCTTGCTGTAGTGTGCCTCAGACATGGAGGCACACTACAGGAACATTAACCCCACAATTGACGCGATTGTGGCAATCTGGGGTTATTTTTAGTATTGGATGGAAATTTTCAGTACTGCGTCCTTAAGGGGAAGACCGCAATGACGGAAGGTTTCCGTCCAGCGTCCTTAAGAGGTTAAACGTTTGTTTGATTTGTATCATGGGAGACAGTCCAGCAATATCTTCCTATATGATCTCTCATGGGCGACTGCAATTCACCCTATGCAATGAGTTAAGTGCCTATTGAATCAACAATAGTGATTGCAGGAAATGTGGAAATGATTCACAGATTGGCAACAATGTTCAAGAAATGTATCAGCCCGTTGTTTCTTTTCTTTCCATATAAGGGCAAGAAGAATGAACGGTAGCCGAGTGATTGATCTAGTAAAGGTTTTTGATCGTATATAAAAAAAAAAAAAAATACACTTAGAAATCAATAAAATGGGTAACCATATAGTCAGTAGCGTACACATGACCCATGGGGCCCCGGTGCAAAAATTGATCCGTGGCCTCCCCCCCCCCCCGGCGCACGGGCCGGACCGCAACACATGGCAGTGGGCACCTGGTCACAGGGTTTACAGGGCTGCGACCCCGGTATGTACACCAGTGCATGCAGATGCACACACACTTAAAGGACCACTCTAGGCACCCAGACCACTTCAGCTTAATGAAGTGGTCTGGGTGCCAGGTCCAGCTAGGGTAACCCATTTTTTCATAAACATAGCAGTTTTAGAGAAACTGCTATGTTTATGAATGGGTTAAGCCTTCCCCTATTTCCTCTAGCGGCTGTCTCATGGACAGCCGCTAGAGGCGCTTGCGTGCTTCTCACTGTGATTTTCACAGTGAGAGCACGCCAGCGTCCATAGGAAAGCATTATGAATGCTTTCCTATGTGACCGGCTGAATGCGCGCGCAGCTCTTGCCGCGCGTGCGCACACAGCCGACGGGGAGGAGAAGAGGAGGATCAGAGGAGGAGAGCTCTCCGCCCAGCGCTGGAAAAAGGTAAGTTTTACCCCTTTTCCCCTTTCAAGAGCCAGGCGGGAGGGGGTCCCTGAGGGTGGGGGCACCCTCAGGGCAATATAGTGCCAGGAAAACGAGTGTTTTCCTGGCACTATAGTGGTCCTTTAAAGGACCACTACAGCCACCCAGATCACATCAGCTCAATGAAGTTGTCTGGGTGTCATGTCCCTCTACTTTTAACCCTGCAGCTGAAAACATAGCAGTTTCAGAGAAACTGCTATGTTTCACTGAGGGTTAATCCAGCCTCTAGTGGCTGTCTCACTGACAGCCGCTAGAGGAGCACACTGAATGTCCACTGAATGCTTTCCTATGGGCGGTTTGAATGCGTGCGCGGTCTCATTCGGAGCTGAGAGGCTGAGGGATCCCCAGCGCCAAGGGAATCCGGCGCTGGAGAAAGGTAAGTGCTGAAGACACACACACTCACTTACAGATGCATACACACTAGCTAACAGAGACACACTCAGCGACAGACATACATACACACTCACACACTCACTTACAAAACATACACTCTCATTGACAAACACACACTCACTAAAAGACATCAAACAGACTCACTAAGACACACACACTAACACTCACTCTAACCCTAACACTCAAACACTCACACACACACTCAAACACTAACACGTTTTTTTTTTTTTTTTTTAAATGTAATCCCCCCAGCCTCCTTACCTTTTGGAGTGCTGGGGGGATTCCCTGGGGTCCAGTGGTGCTGCTGCTGGGCTGCTGGGCGGGTGGCCAGTCGGGCAGGCAGGGGGGCGCGCGAGGGAGCACTCAGTGCTTCCTCTTCAGCTCCCTCGCGCGCCGCACATGGATGCCAGCGCCGGAAGATGACGTCATCTTCCGGCTCTGGTATCAGTGCGGTGCGCAAGGGAGCTGAAAAGGAAGCACTGAGTGCTCCCTCGCGCGCCCGACTGGCCAGCCGCCCGCCCAGGAGTGTGTGTGTGACAGCAGGGCCAGCCTCGGGGGGCCCTGAGGTGGCCGGCTCCTGGGCCCCCCAGGGGAAGAGGCTGGCCCTGTGGGTACATGCCGTGTCGCAGGGGCGGCCGGGCCCCCTGGTGGGCCGGGCCCGGTCGCAGCCGCGACCCTGGTATGTACGCCACTGCATATAGTAGTCCCACTGTAGTAGAAATCCAGAGAACTTTGTCATTTACCGGTATATAGTGTAGCCGACAGGCAGCTTGTATAATAAAATAATTTTATTAGCATATACTGTAACACATACACATAAAACAAAACGTTTGTTACATCATTTTGGAGCCTCAGACTGTATATTAAGCAACCACTGCTTTCTTAAATTGGGGAATATGTTTGTCATTTATATTTTTTATGTGTATGTGTTAGACAGTATATGCTAATAAAATTATTTTATTATACAAGCTGCCTGTCGGCTACACTATATAAATGATATAGTGCTCTGGATTTCTACTACAGTGGGACTACTATATGGTTACCCATTTTATTGATTTCTAAGTGTATTAGTTTTTTATATACGATCAAAAACTTTTACTAGATCAATCACTCAGCTACCGTTCATTCTTCTTGCCCTTATATGAGAAGAAAAGAAACAACGGGCTGATACATTTCTTGAACATTGTTGCCAATCTGTGAATCTACAGCATTTCTATCGTTTCCACAGAGTCCTACAATCACTATTGTTGATTCAATAGGCACTTAACTCATACATCCTTAAACCGCAGGTGGCGGCCATTTCTGCAGTGACACAGTGGTTTTGGTAACCATTTCAGGTCTCATTACTCAACTTTTTTTTAGCTACACACCAGGGTACATTGGTGTTCACCTATTAAGTTGTTTTTTACTCACCCTATGCAATGTTTATAAAGAATCTCATCACCACTATATAATACGATGAATATGCTACAAATCTGGCTTGCCGACTTCAAAGGAACCAGCAAAGCTGATCAACAAATGGCACTTGTTAAATACAGCAACTGGATTTCATACACCTAAATTCTGTACTGAACATGCCTTATCTTGCATCTATTAAATTACCGGCTACAGAAGAATTGTCTTATAACCTCATTACCCAAAAAGTCTTCAGAGTGGAAATAAACTCCACAAGATTGTAACACAATTAAATGACCACTATAGGTATCCAGACTACGTCATCTCAGTGTAGTGAAAGAGTGCAATGGACCGGTCATTTTAGATATATGACAAGGATTTCATTGCAAGGCTAAAACACACCCCTAGTGGCCATCTTCCTGAAAGCCATTAGAGGGTGCTTCCACTTCTACAACAAAGTCAAACTCTGCTCAGTGACAGTCGATGTCCTCACACAGTGCACTAAGACACTGAACCTCCACTGATGCCTCTAATAGAGAAGCATTGCATTCAAAGCTTGTCTGTGAGAAGCATTGGATTGGAGGAGCATTGTTAGCCACGCATGTGCTTCTTGTCCCCAACACTTCCATGTGGGAAGCACTGGATTGGGCAAGAAGCCTGCAGGAAGATGACACAGATGGAGAAGGTGGTGGATTTAAGGAAAGAGTATCAATGCTGGAAACAAGGTCAGTCTTTACACTTCTGGGCTCCCCTAAATGAAATAAACAGCTACTGGAACATTGTAGCATTAGAAATACATGTTTGCTATTGTGTGCTCCCCCTCCCCCCCACTTTTATAAAAACATAATGCACTCACGGTAGTATCAGGGCCAATTTATTACAACCAGTGGTAGAACACTTCTTTTGTGACAGAGCCTTGCGGCATGCTGCTCCCACACGGTTAGAAAAGATTCTTCTGTGGGATATGAACATTAAGGAGATATTGTGTTCCTCACTAGAAAATACGGCTCTTAGGTAGCTATCTCCTATATTAGATAGCATTAAATACTATTGGGATTATTGGGAAGAAACTGTAAATCAGATCTGTTGCGAACCAATGGTAATATCCTTTTCTTTTTGCATGAATATATTTACATTTATAAATGAATCATTTTGTTTGATTCAGTACTTATGGATGGATAATCCCTTTCTCCTTCCCTAGTATTTTTGTATATATAATATATTTAAGAAAAAAAAACCCTCAATGATGTGGCGGAACCAACCTCGCCACTGTGCACTGGAGGAGCCTGGTTGCTCGTCTGCTTATTCGTGCCTTTCTGCTGGGGTGTTCGGTAGATTCAATCTACCGAACAAAGTACCGAACGATCAACCACTAGGAACTGGAATGTGCAGTCAATTGGCCGCCCAGAAGCTGCGGTTAACCGCAGCTTAATTGACAAACGCTGGGTGGCCTTTGTTCGTTTGCCGAACACGTGGCAGCGGCCATTTTAACTCCTGAACGGCCAGCGGTGTTCAGCGCCCAAACTATGGAACTGGAAACGGACACATATTTGCACGAACACCGCTGAGCCGCCAGCCTCCTTTCCTCTGCATTCGATAGAATAAACGAATGCCTGTTCATTCAGTAGTTTAACCGTATGAACAGCATCACCCCAGATAGCCATGACATGGAGCCTATTTGTGTAATGAAAGACTATGGGAAAGACTTTGGCTCCATGGCAATTAAACTGTATGTATGTGATCTGAGTGCCATTCGGTAATAAAGTGCGCTCAGATCTAAGCTATCTGGGGATATGAAGAATGTATGTGTTTTATTCATTATTTGCAACATTGGGTATTTTTGTGTCTTTTTACTAACATGTGCTCAATGGAGTTTTGCCTCTGTCCTGGGAGATAATTGGATTACTTCCCAATTACCTCCAGGATAGAGAGGAGGGATTGTGATGTAATTGTGGGAGTGTTTAAAGGTGTATGTCTGTGATTGGTTAATGTCCAATATGTTTCCCAGTCTTCCATCTGGTCCCCTAGGGGAGTGTCCACCAGGTGGAAGACCTGCATAAAAGTCGGGCAGGTAGCCCCAATAAAAGAGTTCTGCTTGACCCTCAAACGAAGTGTCGTCTCGTTCTTGGGGGGAATTGGATTGTATGCTGATTGCCAGGAGTGTAAGCTTTTCCTGTTCGGCTGCTTTTCCTGTTCGGCTGTTTCCAGTGTTCGAGTCTGTTCGGGAGTTGGAGGATTCGTGTAGTTTGCAGTTTGGGAGATTGGTGCTTACAGTAGCTGTCTGTGCATCTGAAAGGGGAATATCGCCTAAAAGGTTTTTAACCTCTTGTGTGCAAAACGGTCCATTACAAATAAAAACTATAAAAAGAAAAGAAAAGTGAACCTTTAGAGCAAGATAAAATGGTGGAAACTGGTATGACGGAAGACATAAGACAGGTCAGCTATGATTCTCTTTAATGTTATTCTTACATGGTGATTTGGAAAATAAGTAAGATGTATCAATTTGTAAACATAGCAAATGGTAGCACTACATTCTCTGTTACAAGCGTGTGGATCAGACGCAACTTACTTGATATCCCATGTATAAAATTGCTTCTTGGTAATTAATGTGCAAAGTATAAATGTATATTTATAATGTACAAGTTCAACTAACTTGATCTAACTAGTTTGGCAAATTTGGAGAAACAAAACATGTTCCAGCTTTCAGTAAAATAAAAACCATAAAAGCTGTTAAAGTAACTTGTCCCTTTTTGTCCTAGAAGCAGGTAGCGTTATAATACCGTGAAGTGCTAAGCGCTCTCATACAATGCCTCTGGCACTCACCTGGGGAGGGAGGTGATCACGCCAAGCAGTGAGGGCACTGAATGTTGGTCAGAAACATCAACCGATGTCTGTCCCCATCACTGAGATGAGGAAGGTGCAGGAAACTATCAGGACAGCCAGGCCGTGAGCTACAATAAGGTCACAAATTCCTTTGCGTGTTAGACGTGGAGGATAATAAGGGGTGAAACCTCACTGCCTCCATATTGTGCAAATCTCTGGTCAAGGTGCAAGCCAAGCGCTAGAGTAAGCTAATACACTGCCCTGTGGTCAGGCATTCACTTGCCGCAATGCTGGTGTTTTAACATAGACCCCCAATATCCAGGGGTTTAGGATACAGATTTAGAGCAAGCTAAATGGACATTTGGGATGAAGGTAGCATGGCTACGTCATGTCAGTAATGGTCAGATAGAAGCTCACAAATCGTCATCTCCAATGCCCTCAAAAGCGTAATTTCCGTGGAAGTCTTCGGCGCTCATGTCATTGGCAGAGTTAGAGTTGCTGATAGCACGGAGGCTGACTGAGCTGAGCTTACTCTGCAACACAAACAAAAAGTCAAATTCAAAGGCTGGGCTGTACCTCGGACACAGTACAATAGTATAAAATACATTTGTTACAGATTAACAGGCTGGGCTTTACCTCAGATCTTCCTGCTTGTGAAGCTATCTGGACACATCAGCTTTTATTATTCTATAAAAAATATGCCGATACATGTTCTATTCTGAGTGGAATTTCATAGAGAAGAAGATTAAAAGGACACTTCGGGAACCAATACTTGAATGCAAGTTGTATTTTTTCATGCTCAAATCTTAATAGTTTTCAGGAAAAAAAAAAAAATATATTAAATGTTTTGAAAATTGCCAAGCCTGCCCCCCTTACTTCAGAAAAAGACTTCCTTATCATCCGTGTATATACACTGCTCAGCCATTGATAGCTGCAACGGTAGTCGCCATCACCAGGAGTTTCAGACGAACACTTTATGAAGGACCCTGGACTACTCCTATGTCAAAAAAAAAAAAAAAGAAAAGTAAAAACGCACACTAAAAAGGGGGGGAATACTTCCTGCATGGTGCCCCACAAAGGGAGGGCCAATCCCTGAAAATATCAAAAGGAAGAAATTAAATATCCAGGAACACCTCAGGTATCTTTATTTGAAACAAGGAAGTGGAGACAATGTTTTGTCTCCTCTCTGAGGCTTTATCAAATGATTTGATAAGACTTGAGATAGAGAGATATATATATAAAAATAATTTTGCACTTCACTTACAAGTGTAGTTGCCCGGTGCTTGTCAGCAAAAATGTAGAAAACGCAAAAAGATGGCACTCTCAGGACTTCCAAGGTTAAAAGTAAAACAACTTTTAATGTCCCAAAAAAATTATTTTTTTTTTTTTAATTCAACGCTTCAGTTTGTCTTGCAAACTTTCATCAGGATCCTGGAAGTCCTGAGAGTGTATCTTTTTGATATATATATTATCCTATGTCTAAATCACCCTGTGCCCATTATAGGTGCAGGATGTGTATAAAGTATTTGTTTATTGTTTTGTGTGCTCTCTTGTACTGCTGATGCTGGCTATTGACTGGGTGGATTTGGCTATGGAGCCTGTAGAGCTCCCTCTGTTGGTAGCAATAGCTATATGCACTAACTGAATATCAAGGCTAGTTAATTTGCATATTCAAGTAGATTTGCATATTGCTAATTCTGCAGGCAGAAGAGAGATGTTTAATGTTAATTATCTTCCTCACATCTTTACAAGTATGTCATTATAAGTTCCTGTATGTTGCCTAATGTAATTTCATTGCTTGTATTTGTATTGAGTGGTCACATTAATCTAGATGTAATGAGCATATGGGCTAGTCCCAAGAAAAACTAAAGCTAAGCATGTTAGTTCCTTTTAAAACAGAGTGTCTTGTGTGGATTTTTCGGGATCTGCCTGGAAGGAAAGCTGCAGAGGAATAGGCAGAGGGAACTCCCGATACCTACTTGGAAGGAAACCTGCATAGGAATAGGCAGAGGGGACAATACCTGCCTGGAAGGAGGACTGCAGAGGAATAGGCAGAGGGGACGATACCTGCCTGGAAGGAAACCTGCAGAGGAATAGGCAGAAGGGATGATACCTGCCTGGAAGAAGAGCTGCAGAGGAATAGGCAGATGGGTTGATACCTGCCTGGAAGGAGAGCTGCAGAGGAATAGGCAGAGGGGACGATACCTGCCTGGAAGGAGAGCTGTAGAGGAGACTATACCTGCCTGGAAGGAGAGCTGCAGAGGAATAGGCAGAGGGGACGATACCTGCCTGGAAGGAGAGCTGCAGAGGAATAGGCAGAGGGGACGATACCTGCCTGGAAGGAGAGCTGTAGAGGAGACTATACCTGCCTGGAAGGAGAGCTGCAGAGGAATAGGCAGAGGGGACGATACCTGCCTGGAAGGAGAGCTGCAGCCTGGACAGGTGGAAAAGCTCCAGAGATCCCATTAAAGCCTCGGTGACTGGAGTTGAAGCATTCTAGGCTTCCTCCCCAACAGCTAGGAAGCGGATTGGGCGGAGGTACTCAGTAGGAGTACAGGAGCTCTGTCACAATAGCAATGAGTGACTGCTTTTAATTCACAACCTCATTTTAGTCTGTCAGTGAAACTACACACAGGTAGTGATATCTGTAACGGAACCACTGGCACCCCGACTGGGTACCTTCCGCTGACGGATGCTCCTAGTGCTTTCCGAGGACTCCAAGCACTCTGCCCAACCCCACAACCACTACAGACCCCACGAACCGCTGCAGCTTGGTTGGGGTCTCGCCATCTCCACCCACTCTGGACCCAAGACCAGAGTCCATCTTCCAGTAGGTCGACCTCTCCGAATTCCAGAGAGCAGGAACAAGCTCTTAGCAGAGCTTAGTGATTATACCCTGGGGAGTATAGTAATTATAGTTCTCCAATCCCCCAAACATGAGCCGAAACTTCATGAAGGTACAAGATGATCTCCTTTAATTGGCACCAAAGGGCCTTCTCTTATGCAGGTTTTTCTTACATAGGACCACCCACAGGGTTTTACAGAACAACCAATAACACACGTACATTACAGAAAACACTCCCAGCAATTACACACAAAATCCTCTCCTCTGCCTGTGATATAATT